AGAAGCTTGGCCACAGGTGAGAAGCCCACCCCCTTCCCCCGCTCCGTGGATTGGAAGCTAATGGCATTTCCTCTGCCACTGGCTCCTGCAGAGGGGCCGGTCCCTGCTGCTCTCAGCCGCCTCCCCACAGCAGAGGAGGGAATAAATTACAATGAGGCGAGGGGAGAGTGAACCTAATGAGCAGGACAAGGACTGGAACCCGAGACAGAGGCTTGTGCTAAACGGGGTGTGAGCTCCATAAGCAACACAGAAATGAACACTCCAGCAAAGCAGGGAGGAGCGGAGTCCAGGGCCTGGGCAGCCAGCGGCCAGGAGCCCCTGGGAGATCTACTTCTCTCTGGGGGTGTGGCTCTGGGTCCTGAAGGAGGACCCCAAGGACTGGGTGGGGGTGTGGTTTCCTGTACCCTTCCTGCCCTCTCTCCCTCTTGCCCACGACACCCACTCAGAAGACTTTTGGAATCCCGTGTCATCTGCACCATGGGGAGACGAGCGGGTGTGGGAGCACTGCCCCCTCCCTGTCCCTCTCCAGGCGCCTTGTCAGAGTTCAGGACAGTCACTGCGCAGTGACCTGCTCGGCTCGCGGGCAGCTGAACAAGCCCAAACACAGGTCACGGAGCAGAGAGAGATTTATCATTTTCAGCCAAGATGGTGCTTATTTCAGCAACAAATTGATAGGCGTGGGGGAGACAGGTCCCAGCTTGCGGTGTCTTCTGTGGGCAGTTGGGGGGGGTGGTGGTGTCCACACTCAGCAGAGGCCTCCTGCCACCCACCAGTGTCACCAGAGGGAGGTGAGGGGTCCCTAACGGGGCGGCTTCAACAGTGTCTTTGTCCGGGCCAGTTTGCTTTCCTAGGTTCCTTTAAAAACCCCTCCTCTGTGCAGAGAAGAGAGCGCGTCCCTAGGCGACAGCTGTGCGCCTTCGGGCCTCTGGGTCCGCAGGGCGTCTGGGTGGAGGGCAGTGGTTGACTGTTTATCATGCTTCTGGCTGGGTCGGCCTTCTCCCCCTGAGGGGAGCCTCTCTCTGTTGGGGGGGGGGGGCGCGGAAATGCCTTGTTGAGAACCTTGGTGTTGAAGGTGAGATATTGGCTGGAGCTCAAGCAAACAAACAAAACAACAACAGCAACAAAATGCTCCCTCAGGCTGGCTCTTGGCCGCCTCTAAGCTCATCTCACACCACCCTCACCTCCTCATTCCACTCCAGGGCCCGGCCACACAGGGCTGACCACAGGGCCTTAGCTCCTGCTGCTCTTTTGTCTGCAGGCCCTTCAGTACCGTGTCTGCTGACTCCCTTCCTCCCTCCCTGCAGGTATCTGAGAGCTTTTCTAACTGGCCTCAAGCACACAGCACAGCTCTGGCATACGGGAGGTTGCAGTGGAGTAGACGAGGTGCTCCGTGATTGCTTGTTGGACGAATAAAGAAGGTTTATGCTCCTTGGCATGAGAAAATGCGAGGAGTTAGATTTTGCTCTTGAAAGGGAGAGGGAGGGGCAGAGGAGGGACCAGGTGGAACATGTGGGTGATGGCTTGAGGTTGGGGATGATGGGTGTGCACTCGGAGGATGGCGGGATGGCCCTTTAAGGGGGAGATAGGTAACAGTCAATCGGAAGGTATTTTGTTATTTCCAGGTCAACCGCTCCTCCATCTCCTCTTTCTAGAATTCAAGAAAGCCTATTGCATGCATGGGTCTACGTACAAATTGTGTGTGTAGGTGTGTGGGTGTGGGAGGGGCGTGTGTTTGTGTTTGTGAATTGAGAAGAGGCTGAGTTTGTGTTGGTCCAGAGCAGGGGTCTGACGAGGGACTGGGGGTTGGAAGATGTCATGGGGCTTCTATGGGGCTGCCGGCCAAGCTCATTATGGGACAGGGAGGACTCAGTGCGCCCTGGTTACAGGGTGACCCTTGTACAGGGAGCAGAGGGAGGAGGTCAGAGCCCCGTGCGGAGTCTGTGGGGGTCACAGGAGAGGCAACCAGTCCTGTGTGCCCGGCTCTGGTTCTACTTTGGTTGGTGGATCTTGGCCTGTCTGGGCCTTCGTTTTATATAAAATCAAGACTTAGGATCACATGTGATCTTTAACCTCTTCCTAGCGTTAGTGCTCTATTTTTAGATGGAGTTTTTCAAACAATTATTTTTATTAATTTTGTGAGCCTCCGTTCGCTGGAAAATGAGGATAATCCTCTGTCCCTGAGAGTTGTCGGGAGGCTCAGCTGAGATCATGGTCAGAAGTGGATTTTGAAACTATAAATCTTAAAGTGTTGTTGTTGTTTTTAAATATTTTTATTGATTTTAGGAAGGGAGAGGGAGAGAAATATCAACGATGAGAGAGAATCATTGCTTGGCTGTCTCCTGCACACCCCCTCTTGGGGATCGAGCCTGCAACCCAGGTATGTGCTTTCGACTGGAATCGAACCTGGAACCCTTCAGTCCGCAGGCCGATGCTCTATCCACTGAGCCAAACCAGCTAGGATTCTTGTTAGGATACTATCCAAATGGGGGTCGTGTGTTAGGAAAAGACCGAGTTTGAATTTCCAAACAGGAACTGGTGGCACTGGAGTCACGCTGTCTGTTTTCTAAAAGGTTAAAAGACAAGCGCAGAGTCCCTCAACCCGCTTTGAAGGCTCACTCAAAAGGTGGGGCTGGAGGGGGCAGGATGGTGGCCAGAGGAGCAGCTGATCTGCAGTTAATGATTCAAACGGGCACTGGCTGTTCTGCAGGCCTCTGCCCCCTGGTGACTCCTCAATAAAATATCAGTTCCTTTGTTTGGAGCTCACACCTAATCCGAGCTACACTCTCTCTTGGAAATGCTGGTGGGCCCGGGAGCCAGTGTGAGGAACGCCTGGGGCCTGGAATTAAAACGCCAGGGAAGGGAGTGCCCAGCGCCCCCTCTCGCTGCACCCAGGAGGCAGCCTGAGACCTGGGTCTGCAGTGGCTACTGCGGCCCTGGGAACAGCACCAAGTCTAGCCGGCGCCCTCTGCTGGCTGTTTTTTATTATCCCATCGGATCAAGTCTGTTGACATGTCCTGCTCTCACCCAGCTGTGAGCCAGCCTCTCATGGTCAGGAACTAGGCCTTATGTTTGCTTCTCCGTGAACCTACATGAGAGATGACCCGTCCACGTTGGTGGCCGAAGAGCAACCCAAATCGTGTCTTCGACCCAGTGCCTTCAAAGACCAACGAGACCATCCTTGTTCTAAAAAAAATTAAACATTTTTATTAGTATATTTATTTTATATATAAAAGAAATACAAAAAAAAGGAACACAAAGGAAACGCGTTTATGGCAAGTCGGACTTGTCGGGGCCCTCGGCCTGGGCGCCGGGCTCGGGCCCGCCGGGCGTCAGCAGAGTCCGCCGGGCGTAGTGGCCCTTGATGCCCGAGCTGTTGTTCTCGTTGAGGAGCTGCTTCTGCCGCTGCCTGTTGAGGGATTGGACGAGGCCCAGGACCACGGCGGCCAGCGAGTACTGCCCCGGCAGCCTCCTCGGGGGCAGGATGAACGGGTTGGGCTGGACCCTGCCCAGGAGAAAGTACGTCTTGATTTTCCCCTCCTGCTCGCTGATGCCCTTCACGTAGATCTCCCCTCGGTAGTCGAAGGCGAAGCCCTGGTCCTTCAGGATGAGGAACGTCTCCTCCGGGACCTGGATCCTGCCGCTGACCCCCGTGCTGTCCATGCGGCTGGCCAGGTTCACGGTTTTACCCCAGATGTCGTACTGCGGCTTCTTAGCGCCGATGACGCCAGCGACCACCGAGCCATGGCTGATGCCTGTCGGGGAACCAGAGGAGCAGGAGATGAGAGAAGAGGGATCTACAGCCACGAGGTGGCCACACCCGCCTGGGGTAGTGATCACGAAGGGTGTGATTTCTGCGGGTAGATTCCAGGGTCCCAGTTCTGTGTCTCATTAGACATGTGACCTCCGTCACTTACTTAATTGATTTGGATCTGTTTTTTTTTAAAATATATTTTTATTGATGTCAGAGAGGAAGGGAGAGGGAAAGAGAGATAGAAACATCAATGATGAGAGAGAATCATTGATTGGCTGCCTCCTGCATGACCCCACTGGGGATCGAGCCCGAAACCTGGGCATATGCCCTGACCAGGAATCGAACCCGTGACCTCTTGGTTCCTGGGTCGACGCTCAACCGCTGAGCTACATCCGGCTGGGCTGGATCTGTTTTTTTAAAAATACATATATATGTATTTTTAGTCTCTCTCTCTATAATAGACTTCATCAGAGAGGAAGGGAGAGGGAGAGAGAGATAGAAGTATTGAACCCACAACCCAGGCATGTGCCCTGACTGGGAATGGAACCGTGACCTCCTGGTTCATAGGTTGATGCTCAACCACTGAGCTGCACTGGCCAGGCTGGACCTCACTTTTTTATTATCTGTCAAGTGGAAATAATAAAAGGAAGATGAAATGAGATGATATAAGCAAAGCCATTGCCATAGTACCTGGCAGCCAGTGGGTGCTCAAGAGAAAAGAATTCATATTCTCCCACGGATGCTGACTTAGCTCAGCCTGTGGGATGCCAGGTTTACCGACACACTCGGCGTTGCAATGACTCACCCAAACTCACAGAGCCGGTCACAGTGGACCCACAACTCAGTCCCACTGGGGAAATAATTTTCTGACCCCCGAACTATGCCAGCGGTACCCTGTATCACAGCGGGTTGGCCCTGACCGCAGAGATGTGTCCCGACTTTATGTCGAAGACCCTTTCGCTCAGGCCTAGAGTTCCGCTTTGCTTTCCCGCTCCCATTCTGTAGCCAGTGACTTCAGAAAGGACACGCAAAGTCCAGGGGAGATGGTGGAACAAGCCCCGAATACCCCGTCCATAGATCAAAAACATAAAACTTAATTCCTTTCAGTGCAGGGAACAAAGGCACGTGGCGATCCTTAGATCAGACAAGTCAGACATTGGTATTTCTTGACCTTTTTTTACTTGAAAGCTGCTAAGGGAGCTTGGTATTTGGTAAAATGGCGCAACAGCGAAGGGATCTAACACCAGGGCTGCAGCAACGATGGCTTTCGATCGCGTCCTAGCAGCCAGAATGTCGCTGGTCTCGGGACACCCAGGAGCTGCTGCCGGGGGACATCTGGGCTGTGTGATCTTTAGTCCCCCCCCCTCTGCGGGCTGAGTTTATGCATCTGTGAAATGGGAATGCGGACCAGAGCAGGGGCTTCCTGGTGCTTCAGGAAGAAGACTCAGCAGAGACGCTGAAGAAATTGGCATGTGATACACATGATAAAGGGTGCCTATTCACATTGCTGTGACTGCTGCTGCGTTCTCACTTTGCACAAGGGCGTCTCTAAATCACAGGAAGGGCGAACCGTGCCGCCGCGTGAAGTGCCCCAGGCTCTCTGCCTGTCCTGCTGAATCCTCAGGAGCGGACTCCTGCTTTTGCCTGAAGGCATTACCTGGAAGCACCAATACAGTGCCTGCCTGCTCAGCTCGCTCAGGGGGACAGAAGTCAGAATGAAGTGACTGGTGAGCCAGCTGCCTCCCTGAGCAAGGCCCGTGTGGGAGGGATGCCGGACAGGAGGTGGGAGAGAGGTTGCCGCGGTCAAGTGTTCGCTTTGTCTTTCTGCACCCGGGCCAGTGTCCATGCCTGGCCTCCAGCATCTTCGGTGAGAGGCAGCCAGAGAAGTCCGCTGCATTTGCAGGAAAGAGCGTCCCTGGCTCGATGGCCAGGCCTGGGAGGGTCCCATGCTACCAGGCCAGGCAGCCCGGGGTCCCCAGTGGCCGCCCGTTGCAGCTACTCACCGATCCGGAGCTCGAAGTTGTTGAACGAGTGCTTGTTGATCTCCTGGATACTCTCCGTCAGGGCGAGCGAGAAGTCGGCCAGGGCGCACAGGTGTCCCCACTTGTCCTCACATTGCTGGGGGGCGAGAGAGGCACTCATTCCAGCAAGCGTGAGCATCGGGTGAGGGGCCTGCCTGGCGTCCTAACCCCACCCCACGTCCCTTAGAGGAAGTACTAGGTGTGCGGCTCCTGCACATTCAGGCCCTCCATATCCGCAAACATGGGACCACAGGGGGTTTGCATGAGAGAGTAAGATAGGTGTGGATCCTGTCATTCTTCCCAGACCTGCCCCTGTCCATGCTCACTGGTGTGTGTGTGTACATTATGTGTAGTGTTGGGGGTGTGTGTATGCATGTGTGTATATGTGTGTGTGTAGGTACATTGTGTGTAGTGTTGGGGGGGTGTGTATGTACATGTATGTGTATATACATGCTCCTGTGTACATATGTGTAGTGTTTCCACTCTAGGAACTGTGTCTATTTCCTTTGAAGTGCTTCACTCACCAAACTCCAGTAGCCTCTGAGCCTCTCTGAGCCTCAGTTCTGTCATCTGTAAAATGCGCTGAGCACCCTGGCCCTGCCTACCTCACAGGGAGTGGCTGGGATTGAGCTCTGAGCTCTGATGCAGCCGAGGCTGGCAAACGGGTTCGGTAGAGGGCCAGGCAGCACAGATCTCAGGCTTCGTGGCCACAATCCTGGTGCAACTACTCGGCTCTGCCGTTGTAGTTTGAAAGGAGCCGTGGACAAAGCACAAGCAGCGAGTGTGGCTGTGTTCAGTGACATCTGATCTGCAAGCACAGGTGACTGGCCAGACCTGGCCGTAGGCTGTCCCAGGGACCTTGCTCTGGAGCACCAGGCACAGGGACCAGTTCCTAGCATGGTCTTCTTGCCAGACAGTTACCCTTGTAATAGTTCTAGGTGTTTAGTTGGACAGAAAGCAAAGGCGGGATGAGAAGAAGGGATGAGGATTCCTTCTCTGGAGTAACTTAGACTCATGTCCAGATGACACTGATTGAGGACCTGCCAGGGGCAAGGCCTTGCGTGGGAGCATGACATTATCGAGGGTGACTCGTCCACTAACCCCGGCAGGTGGATGTTGGTGTTCCTGCTTAACATGAGTGGCTGGCACACAGGCCACACTCAAAAGGGCAGGAGCTATTGTTATTCTTGTTGTTATTATTACATGCTACTTTTGGTCCTGAGTTTGGAGGAGAAAACAAAAGCAAGAACAACAACAAAAAAACAAAACAGGCTAGGATCAGGGGTTAGCAGCACCCACAACTAATCATAATCAGGGAACTGCTGGCCCTGATTTTGTTCATCACATGAACAGGGAGATTCATAAGGAAGCCAAGAGGGTTCTCAGTCATGAAGAAGCGTCGGTCCATCCAGTGGACTCTGCTTAGCTCAAGAGCAACATGCGTCACACAACCGGAGTATCCGGTTCATGGGATGTTCTCCCTAATTCTCCCCAGCCTCCTGGTGATGGCAGCCTCACTGCCCCAGGCAGTGTGACAACACTGAGGCCCCTGCCAGAGGTTGTGGCTGAGTCCAAAGAGTTCCCTTACCTGCTTTTCAGGTGACAGGCCTGAGACAGCCATGTAGGTGCTGCCAATGGTCTTGATCTTTTCAATGTCTTGAAACCGGTCTTCGCCGAGCAGCTGAAACAGACCAGGCAACGGTGTTAGTCCTGGTGTGTGTTCCCCCAGCAGCCCGGGGGTCCTGAGAACAGCCCCCTGGCTCACACTGAAGATGCCCTCCGACCGGCCATTCAGAGAGCCAACATATTTTTATTGAACACCTGCTAAGTGCCAGACTCCAGGATGGGCGTGACCAGATACTCGTTAAGGATAGGTCTGTTGCTATGAATTTTCAAAATAGACAAAGCTACCTTGTTAATCTGAAGAAATCACAAATGTCCCGCAATCCATCAACACATCCTTTTGGCTCTATTTTTAACATGTGTTTGGAACCCTTCTCTGCCAGCTCCCTGGCCTAAGTCCCTGGTAGCGTATACCTTGTTTCTGTAACTCCATAACTTACCAGCTCCTGCCCTTACCCCATATGCCCAGCATGGACATCAGAGACATCCCATTCAAATGTGCACAACCCTCCTGTGGCTGCCCCTTCCACTCAGGGTCAAAGTGAGTCTTCCCTGAGACCTTCGTTCCTCTCGTGCCTGGTCTCCTCGCTCACTTTGCTCCAGCCACACCAGCATCCTTGCTGATCCCCATGAGCCAGGCTTGCTTCTGCCTCAGGACCTTTGCTTTGCTGTCCCCCCTATGGGATAGTCTTCCCTCCAAGGTAGACTGCTCCTCCCTCACCTTCTTCAAGTCTTTCCTCAAATGTCATCCCACTGGGGTCTTGCTGACCACCCCACCCAAACTGAACACAACATCCCATCCTGGGGGCCACCTACATTATAAGATAGGGAAGACGAGAGGAAACTGGCAAAGGAGACTGGTGGAGAGCTGACAGTGCAGCGAAAATAAAGACAGGAGTTGGCAGAAGACAAGAGAGGAAAAAGGTGCCCCAAGAGCAAGGCACAGTCTCCCAGGTCAAATCCGCCGATGGGCTCACCCCGCCCCCCCCCACCCCCAATGCGATCTCTTGTCTCATGGCTTCAACAGTCTCTTTCCTGAAGACTCCAGATGTATGCGTCCCCCTTGACCTTCAGACTCTTCTACACATTTGCTAAGCGACACCCCAGTTACAGGTCTAACAGGCATCTCTCATTGGCCATTCTCAAAGCCACACCCTCGGTCTTCTGCACCCACCTGCCATCTTGATTAATGGGGCCTCCATTTTCCCAGATGTTCTGGATAAAACCTCACAGCCCACACCTACTCTGTCAGAAGCGCTGTGGCTCCGCCTTCAGAGATCCCGACTCTGACTCCGTCTGTCCCACTGCCTCTGCTGCCCAGGCCACCCTTCCGCGCGGCCGGCCCTAGCCCAGGAGCCAAGTTCACAACAGACCCGTCCCCAAGTGTGAACTCTGGCCTCTTACTTCCTCGTGTTGGCAGCTCTTTGATGTAACTCCTGGTTCTCCAGCTCCTTGCCTCCCTTTAACCTTGTAATATCCTCAGGGGCTCCTGCCAGCCTTGGGGGTGGGGGCGGGCAGGCAGATGGAGAAGACGCAGTGGGGTGTCTACGGACCATGTTGCTACAGGCATCCTCTCAAAATTAAGCTGGAGCTGAGAACCTTGGAAAATTCCAGCTCCAGAGAAACTGTTCTGGGGAACATGGAAAACACAGGCAGGTGCTTTTATCCTGTGCTTTAGTGTGTGTGTGTGTGTGTGTGTGTGTAGCAGCCTTTGTTCATTACTTTTGTGTCTTGAGCTGAAGAGAAGCCTCTGCTCTGAGCTTTGCCCTGGCTGAGCGTCTGCCAAGTGCGCCTGGGCAGCCTGCCTGTCCTCAACCCGAGGCCGTGACTGCCAGGTGCCCTCAGACACCAAAGCAGCTTTGGTCTGCGAGCAGCCCTTCCTTCGGCTGTTAATACGGCAGCCCAGAGATCTCAGCATGCCCTGGGCTGCCCACCTCCCTCCCCAGCCTCCTGCAGGGAGGGGACTCCCCCCATCTCTCTTCTCTTCAGAACTGCTTGGCTGAGGGCCAATCTCAGGCCCAGGCAAAGCTGCCTCCCCCTCTGAAGTCGGTTAGGAGGCAGCAAGAGTCTTCATTATTTCATTCAGTATCCACGCAGCACACTTATCTACTGTACAGCTAAGAGCATCTGCGGGCATAATGGGTTCCTAATCGCCTCTTTATTAATTCACTCATCTGCGTGGCGCAGGGAGATGCAAGGGGACTCCTCAGCCTTGGCCGGGCAGGGGCTGTGGGCGAGGGACGGGCACTGCTGCAGACCCAGCCTTGGAGCTGGAGCGTGTGCTCCGTGCAAGGCCCTGCTTTCCCCTGAGCCTGGAAGGAATTGGCAGGCTCTCAGGTTCCTGTGGCAACTGCTCAGCGAGAAGAGCAGTGAGCCCCCGGGAGGGGCGGGTGGGCCTCGGGCTCAGCCAGGGCAGAACCTGGAGGCCGCTCTTGACCCAAAGGAACGAGGCACATCTAGGTCACCCAAGGAGAGTGCACAGCGCTGGGGTTGACAAGCCAGGAAATGTCTTCTTCCTCATGGACAACATTCTCTTCCCTCTTTCTCCTTCTCTGCCCTTTCTCTTCTACTTCCTCCCCTCCCCAAATTCCCGGTTCTAAAGATGACAGCATCCTGGACCAATCCCCTCCCTTAGTCTCACCAGCTTCCCTCTGCAAACAAACACCCGTCTCTACCACTAGGGGCGCTGTCCTCTGTCTCAGTTTTTGGGAAGACTGCAGGGTGTTTACAATTTAGGGAGCAGACTTGCGCATTTAGTTCAGATTTATGTTTTGCAATTTAAAAACATGCTAGTGAGCCTTTCAGGAGATGGGGTGCTGTGGAGTTGAAAATAAAACAGAGCCTGAAGTCTCAACCTTCAGTCAGATGATTGTTAATGGAGCTATTTCTATTTTTTTACTTGAGAGGATGTTTTGGGCGGTAATAGTCCTTCACCACCTTCCTATTAGCCAGCTGGTTTCTGTCTCCCATTGTGTAAGTAGTTAATAGAGCATCCGTTATGAGCATGTCTTATGTCCTAGGCACCGTGCTAGCGCTGGGGATGTCCCGGGATCCATGAGAGTATCCTTTCTATCTGCCTGGCATGGAGGATGGGAATAAAGGTGCTGTTACCATGGAGTCGCCCTCCACCCCCCGCATTTCGAGGTCCCTGTACCGTACACTTACCACTGACTCCTCGTGCAAAGACAGCTCTTGGCCACCCTGTCTCTCAGAGGAAGTGATTGTGTCACTTATCTTGATCCCACCCCCATCCCTAGGACATCTGAAATGGCCGTCGTTGAGTTTATGGTCACAAAACCAGAACCATGAAATGCCCCTTAAGTGGGAAACAGTGCAACACAACGATTAAAAACCAAAACAGTACGGGGGACCTGGGTTCCAATCCTGGCAGTGCCATTTTAATGGTGTGTGGCCTGGACACTCTTGGTGCTTCCGAGGCCCAGTTTTTCTTATATGTTTAAAATGAAGGCTAGCCTTGCTGGTGCGGCTCAGTGGCTGAGCGTCAACCCATGAACTGGCAGGTCACATGCCCGGGTTGCGGGCTCGATTCCCAGTAGGGGGATGCAGGAGGCAGCCTATTGATGATTCTCTCTCATCATTGATGTTTCTATCTCTCTCCCTCTCTGTTCCTTTCTGAAGTCAATAAAAATATATTAAAATGAAGGCTAGCAATTCCTATCCTGTGGGTTTGGTGTGGAATATTGAAAATGGCAACATGATAAACGCCTATAGAAATTTAACGGAATGGGTGTCTGCCCAGAACTAAGTGCCTAGTGGGGGAGGAAGACCTGTACACTGAGGGCTGAGGGCTTTATGGTGGAAGGTTTTTTGAGTATAAGTTTTTCATTGGAAAAGGAGCAACAATATTTACTTGGCTGGGGGGGGGGATTAGAAGAGGCGTCACAAGTAGGGTGGGGGTTGAATTGACTGTTAAATGACTATTAGGTTTTCCTCTGGCCATGGAGTCCAGGGAGGGAGGAGGGTGTGGTGAGGAGGGAGTAATCTCTGGGCAGAAGGAGCTGTGCGTGGAACAGCTAGGTGGGCCCGATGGCTTGTAGGTAGCTAGACGGTGCTGGACGGGTGGCATGTAGTGGCAGGTAAGGCTGGAGAGGGCACAGGGACAGTATGTACAAAGCCTCAGGTGACCTGAGGAACTGGCAAAGGGGAGCCACTGAAAGGTTTTGGGTGTCAAAGGGATATGAGAAAGTTCTCCTGCCTTTGGTCATTGCCAATGGTGAGATGCAGGAGGGACAGCAGTTAGGAGATAATATGGCTCAGAGCAAGACTAGGAAGAAGGGATCCACGGGACTCAGGAGCCAGAAGGAATGTGGGGACAGGAGGACCGTGTCCAGGTCATGTAGGAGGTGCTGTTGGTGCCCCACCCAGACCCGCTTTACGGGGCCACCCTGCAGAACGCCCTGAGGGCTGGCTGCTGTACGCTTTTTCGGAGACTTGCCCAGGCTGGCGAAGCCCCCTGGCTGGAAATGCTGGTAGGTTATGCACCCCCCTGGGGCAGCCCACAGCCAGTGGCTGACCAGGGCCGAGGTGCAAAACCTGGCCCCCTTGCCTCGGTGGGAAACAGCTCCGTGGTACACTTATCCTCCTGAGCTCCCGGGGATGGAAGGAGAAGGCCCACTCTGGCCCAAATCTGTGACTGTGAATAAAGTGCAGCACGAGCCCACTCCTCTCCCCCATGTTAGGTGTTTGTTCTTCACACTCACGGAGGCTGGACAAAGGAAGTCCTGTCTAGAGTGTGCTCATCCTGTGTTCAGGTCTCTGACCAAATGCCAATTGATGGCTTTGCCTTTGGCACTTGGAGCAGATGGAGCAATGTCCCCATCGGTGCCCAGTCTCTGTGACACTGGTGCCTGAGTAGCCTTGGTTTTGCCATTTGCTAGCTGTGTGACGCTGGGTTAAATTACCTGGCCTCTGAGGCTTGTGTTCTTGATCCCCCTCCCCCTCCCACAGTGAGAAACAATAGCATTGATTTCGTGATAATTGTGATGATTAGATCAGATGACACATGTTTGTGTTTATAGTGCAGCCTGGAATTCTGTAATGGTCATGGCTCAATGACTCACATAATGCTGTGACCACAACGATGGCCACTGTGACTGTCAGTTCCCCAGGCCTCGGTTTACCTCATCGAAGTCCGCAATGATCTCATTCAGCAGGCGCAGGCACTCCACGCCTTGGTTATTCATTTCGGTCTGAGAGTAAAAGTCCGCAAACCCCGGGATGGAGGCGAACATCACCCCGACAGCATCATAGGATTGAGAATACAGCTCCTGGAACATAGGGACACACAGGGGGAGCCAGAGATAGTCATCAGAGGTGAGGCTCTGCGAGGACACTCCCTGTGCAGGCGTGCACCTGCACCCAAGCACAGTATCCCCAGAGAGGACGCTGCCATGTCAACACCGTAACCACGGCATCACCACCATGTGGACCGGGACCATTGAAATGCATGGCCTCCAACTCAGCTGGGCTCAGAGTTCTGACTGCCCAAGGCTTTGTCCCCAGGCTCCTGTTCTGTTGTCCTCAATGGCCAAACCTTCACCACATTCCTTAACGTCAACCTCACTTGATTCCTCTCAGTAGATGATCTCTTACTTCACTGAGAAATCTGAGGCTCTTGGCATTCCAATACTCATACATTTGTCTACATTCATATTTATTGCCATCAACTTATGATTCTGGAGACTAGAAGTTTAAGATCAAGGTGTTGGCACGTTGGCTCTTTCTGAGGCCTCTCTTCTTGGCTTAGGTGGTCTTCTCCTCCATGCCATCAAAGGCATGAGAGGAGCCCGGGAGGAATTGAGTTGAGGTTGGAGAGGTGCTGTCAATTTCTGGGGAGGGACAGTGACAGCTTCAGCTAATCCCAAGAAAGGGGACCAAAGGAATATATATCCTGACCTCACTCTCCTTCCCTTCCCTCTGGTCTCCTACACAGCACCCCAATTAATGACCCTCAGCTGGGTGCCAGAGGGTGTGCGGGGTCATTGATGCAGCCCAGGCAAGTCAGCCCCCACCACCCAAGTAAGCAGGGAGAAGGGTGGGGGGTTTTCAGGGGACCCGGAAGCGCTCCAGCCACCTGCCTCCACCGTTAGAGAGAGCCCATCATTCAACTGGCTCTAATCAGCTGCTTTGAGTGTGCCATCTGTTTCTTGCTATTTGGGGCTCAAAGAAGATAAAAATATTGTGAGCTGGGGAGGGAGCAATGAATATAGAAAAGCTATTATTGCCTTATTGCCACCCTCCTCTGGCTGGATGTACAGGTTTGGGCTCTGGGGAGGGTTTTGAGCATCCACACCCTCCCCTCCCCCATGCCAAGAGAAAGACTTTGGTTCCTCTTTGCTCAGGGAGCTATCTCTGGTCCTTCCTGGCCCAGGATGTCTGAATCCAAGTTCTGTGTTTCTTCTGTGAAGTCAAGCCCTCTCTCTGCAGGGAGAAACTAGGTCTGAGACCGGTTGGTCTTATTAGGATCCTTTCATGACATTCAGGTCTCTACTCAAATGTCACCTCCTTAAAGACAGCTTCCAAAGCCCCCTCAATGTCAATGCCACCCCTTTTCAATACTGTAGCCCACGTTTGGCTTCTGTTCTCATAGAACTATCACTCCGGGCACGAGGTTGTATAGCTATTCATTTTAATGTCTGCTTTCCCATAAAAACACATGCTTCATATCAGCAAGGGCTCTCTTCTTTGCTCACTGTCTGAATGCCAGGATCTAGAACAACGCCTGACACATGGTCAGCCCTCAGGAAGCATCTGCTGAGCAAATGAGCGAATGAATGGTAGGGGTTGGGGCTGTGATTGGGAGGGAGCAGAAGTAGTGGTGACTCACATTTATCAAAAAATAATTACAGCTAACAATCTGTGTGCTCTTAGAATGTGCCAAGCACCGTATAAGCACTTTATGCCCAGATGTAAACGTCATAACAATCGGATAAAGTAGGGAAGTTTTGTTACTTTGTAGGTGAGAAAAATGAGGTCCAGAGTTAATCACTTGTCCATAGTCTCAGAGGGAGCGAGAGGGGGAGTCGGTTTTGAACCCAGGGCACCAGGCTTCCGGGTCCATCCTATGGCTTTTCTATACCGAACCTGCCACACACCTGGCTGCACCAGGCACCTTGTGTGTTCCCACCTGTTTTAATTCTCACACCAGCTCAGCAAGGGTGATATTGTTTCCTCATTGACTGGATGAGGAAGGAAATGGACTCAGAGAGGTCGAGTGTCAACTCTTTAAATATTTATAAAGCCTCAAATAAGCATGGTGAAGGCTGAACCTGCCATTGGTTTTGCTCAGTGGGGGTTGGCCTGGAGACAGCTGATGACCTGGGGTCTCAGCATCCCTGGCTGGTTGCCATCCTTCCCGGACGAGGGCAGCGTGTTCGTGCTCCCCCCCACTGGCCCCAGATCCCGGTGGCTTTGCTGTGTTGGTGGAAAAGCGGTTCTCCTTTCCGTTCTCCTTGGGTTGGCCTCGGAGGGCTCAGTGTTTCATCCGCTTCTTCTGAAGGTCATGGTGACCCACATCAATATTCCCTCTGCTTTCTTGGCTTCGTCACTAAGCTCTTGTCACAGAGTCCCTGACCTTAGGGAGCCTTGAGGAAACCGGGCCTGAACCTAATTCCAGAGAGCGTCATCCATGGGGTGGGTGGTGCCTCGACCTGTACCCAGGAAACTGTCCAGGGCCCGAGTTCACCAAGAGCTGGCTATTCCAGCAGCAGGTTATTCATTCGTTTAGCTCCTTCCCATGGTCATTCTGTGGCTGCTTGGATGAGAGAGGGACCCTTAGGTCCCACCCAGCTCCATCCTAAGGCCAGGGTCACAGACCCAAATGTCTTTATGCAGGAGAAGGGGCAGGATACAGATGGATACATTGGAGAGCCTACTCCATGCCTGCAGGCATCCATCCAATCACAGATTAAAACAAAGAAGCCAACCAACCAGCCAGCCAACCAGTGAGCGTTTCCCCTGACCACACCTGCCGTTGCCAGCCACTGACGAGCAGGTGATCTGTGCACACACATATGTAAAACTTTACAATTCCAATTCAGTCTTGCAACGGACATCTTATCCTGTCCATCTTACCGATGGGGGACCCGAGGCTGGGAGGCGGTGTGTATATGTCACAGTGCTGGGCAGTCTCGGGGGCCTGGCACCAAGTGGCAGGGATGATCTCCACGTGCTCACAGGACAGGGGGGTTTTCCCCGAGCTTGGGCTCCATGTGTCCAACTCACCCCACCCACCACCACCCCTTCTCACCGGCCAGACGAGCCTGGCTCACCTCGTTGTCTCGGTCCTTCTCCAGGAAGTGGCGGGCCACGTGGCTGGGCAGGATGTTCCGGAGCATGTTCTCATTGTGCTCCCTCAGCTCCTTCATCTCGTTGATCTCCTCTTTGGCCTGAACCCGCCAAAGGAAGTCCAGGCGGGCAGTGTACTCCAGCTGCAGTTCAGGGGAGAGGAAGAGGGAAACAGGTGGGCAGGCAGCTTCAGGCCCACGTGTGGCAGGTGGGGAAAGCTGCTCAGGAACCTTCATGAACAAAACAGAGCCACATCTGGGCATTTGGGGAGGCACTTTGCCTGACACAAGAGATCAGAGGATGATCCCATTGCACGGGGCTGTGTGTACCGTCTCTTCCTGGCATTATGGCACCTATAACTACGATTGTTTGTGTGATGTCTGATAATGGCCATGTCGCCTACTGGCCTGCAAGTGCTATGCGGTCAGGGTCCTTTCCCCTGCTCAGCAGGACATCCTTACCATGTAGCCACATGCTTGGCCCAGGGCAGGTGTTCAATCAGGACTTACTGACTCAATGGAGAAGTTATAGTAATCAAGCCAGCTGACACTGAAATGGTGCTTATTATTATTCCAGGCATTGTTCTAAGCAATATACATGTCTTCACTCCTTTCATTCATACAAAAGCCCTCATAGGAGTCATTATGATCAATCCTATGAGGAAATGAAAGCAAACATGGTGAAGTAACTTGGCCAAAGTCACACACTAGTTAGTGGGAAGCCAGGATTTGGGCTTCACTCCAGAGCCCAACCCGAGTCTGAATAATACTGGTAGCGGATGGACTTCACTCAGTGATCCTTCAGGCATAATGTGATAAGAAAAATCATTTGATGTACAAAGAGTATTTGTGAGTGCCGACTACATGGTAGGCAGTATGCTAAGAAGCCATACACACACACACACACACACACACATGCATACATACCTGCATATATACATACATGTTTCTATGTATACACATGTTATTGTTATTATAACATTTAAATTATTTAAAAAATTGTGATAAAGTACATATAACATAATTTACCATCTTAACCATTTTGAAGTGTACATTTAAGTGGTACTAAGTACATTCACTAGGCAATAAGGAAGAAATCAATGAGCTAACAATGAAAGGATTGTAGATTTAGTTGTGAGACAAGTATGGTGTAGTGTCCTGGTCCCAATTCAAATACCGTGACCTGGGCTGGTGACGTCATCCCAGGTGCCTCATCTCTGAAAGTGGGAGGAGCACCAGTGACCTCGCAAGATTAGAATAGGAATTATACAGGAAGTTCCAGATAAAGCACATGGCTCATGGTAGGTCCTCATACCCATTCGTTCCCTCTTGTCCCAGCTTCCCTTGGTGTTGGCTAGTGGACAACTTCCTTTCTAAAGCACCTTACATATTTACCACAGCCTGGCGGATGTCATTATTTCAAAGTCTTTGGCTGTTGAATAGTATACCACACTATTATACATGGTTGGGTGCCTTGCATTCAAAGGCTTAGAAAACTCCAGCTCGTTTCTTTTCTTTGTCTTACTGAAAGTCTCATTGGATGGCAACAATGTGAAATGACAGAGGCAGCAGGTTATCTATTCAGTAGAATTTGTAATAGCAAAAGCTGGAGACAACCCAAGTGTTCCTTTTGTTGGTTGAATGAACTATTGTATGCAGCTATAAAAAGAAATGAAGACTATTTCTCTATACTTTGAAGGACTATCTCCAAGGTGGAGAAATGCGTGTTTAGTATGCCACCGTTGGTCTCAGGAAGGGAGATATCTAGATATCTCTCTCTCTCTCTCTCTCTCTCTCTCTCTCTCTCTATATATA